GGCCTGGAGGGGGCCCCCAGCCTGTGCCACCAGTGCTCAGGCTGGAGGAGGTGGCTGAGGATGCAGCTGCTGAGGGCCACCCCAGCCAGGTAGGGTGACAGGTAGCAGCACCATGGCGGATGTCACAGCAATGGGGACATGAGGGTGTGGCTCATGAGGGACCATTTTCCCACTTGGGAGCCTTCCAGTCCTTCCCACCAGATCCTGCCCGCCAGGGCTGTGCCTCCCTTCCCAGGGACATAAGCCGGACCCGCACCAGCCCTGGCCGCGGTCTTGCCCTTTATTGGCACCCGCTCCTCCCGGCCCCCTCGTCCCCGCCAGGCTCCCCACCGCCGCCATCACAGGTGGCATCTGGAGACAGGACCCAGCTGCAGCTCCAGGAAGCGGATGATCTCCTGCCACGAGTGCTCCTGGGCCCTGGCATGAGGCTGGGGCTCACCCCCCCACAGCACGGGGCTGGGGGTGCCCCGAATGGTCGAGATGCTGCAGAGCGGCGAGCAGGGCGGCTCGATGAGGTGCCCGGCGCCAGCGTAGGAGAGCAGGCAGTAGCTGTCCTTCCTCATCCGTACCATGGCCAGCTCAGCGAAGAGCTTGCTGTTGAAGTTACGGTCAGCCTCTCCCACCACAAAGAGCACCTGGCCCCGGATCTTCTCCACGGGGATGGCAGAGCCGCTGTGAGCAGGGTCCCGGGGGTCCCCGAAGACGCCGTAGTTGTCGAAGGCTCCCAACTCAGTGAACATCAGGCGCTCAGGGTAGTAGGGGACAGCGGGGATGCAGAGGCCCTTGTAGAGCAGCGGGGTGCCGTGGAGGAAGGCTGAGCCGTTGATCCACACCGTGGCCACCACTTGCGGCAGGAAGGCAGCCATAGCCAGGGCTACCTCCGCCCCTTTGGACACACCGATGACACCCAGCCCGGGCCCTCGCACCTGCAACGGGCACCGGCGCCAGGTAGCCCTTTTTGCGAGGACACCCCCGCTTGCTGGGACACCCCTGCTCAGCAGCACCTCCCCGGGCGAGGGGTGTCCCACAGCACAGCAGCACTCACCTTAGGGTGCCGCAGGAGCAGCTCGGCTGCCTCCTCGAAGTACTCCAGGTCCAGCTGGGCCAGCACACGGGGCAGGTCCTCGTAGGCGAAGAAGGCCAGGGCCAGCACTGCAAAGCCCCGGCTGGCCAGCAGCCCGGCTCGAAACTCAATGAGGCCCCCCGCGCCCCCAAACATGTCGATCACGCCCGGGAAAGGCCCAGGTCCTGCGGGCAGCAAGAGATGCCCGTTGCCACCAGGCTGCTCCCATCCCAGAATCCCTCTCGCCATCCCAGCGGCTAAAACCAAGCCTGAAGAGCTCAATGGTGTTCCCGGGGAGGGGATCCATGGAAAACCATCAAACCGCAAGAACGCTCAAACCCGTTTCCGCGCTGGGAGCCACAGAGCAGGAGGCTGATGACCAAAGCTGCCCCATTGCCCTCAGGCCCCTTTGGTCACAGAAGCGGCTCCTGGGGACAGCGACGCGGAGCCTCCCAACTCCCGGTGAAGCCTGAAGAGCTCAATGGTGTTCCCGGGGAGGGGATCCATGGAAAACCATCAAACCGCAAGAACGCTCAAACCCGTTTCCGCGCTGGGAGCCACAGAGCAGGAGGCTGATGACCAAAGCTGCCCCATTGCCCTCAGGCCCCTTTGGTCACAGAAGCGGCTCCTGGGGACAGCGACGCGGAGCCTCCCAACTCCCGGTGCTCACCTGGAGGCAGGAAGAGGGCCCCGCGTACCCTGCCCTCGTGGACAGGGGCTCGCTGGACGCCGGGGCCCACGTACCACC